CCCCCCAACCCGGTTACATCATTACTCGCGCGCCCGTCCGCCGCGGTACAATGACGTGAAAGAGAGAAAGAGATAGCGGGGGAGGGTCGGGGGAGGGTGCGGTGCGGACCGTGACAGACATTTCACCCGCGACTCGCGTCGCCATAGCGTCGCCCCGGGTTCTGCCCTGCTCCCCGACCAGTCTCACCCGCTACCCGGCCGGCCGGCGCCACTCGGGCGACGTCGCCTCAGTGTCGCGGTGTATCTGCGGCCCGAGCGGAGAGTAGCGCCTCGTCGCATCGCACCCTCCCGATCCGCAGAGTCATACCGGTCGGTGTGAGAAAGTGTGCAAAGAAAACTGCGAATAAAGTGCCCAAGTCGTTTTGTTTTCACCTCAGTGTAAAGCAGGGACGTCTAACATCCCGGAGTAGCGGTCTATAGCGGGAGGGTGGTGTTCAAACATCAGTCGTCGTCATCCAACCCCGTCGCGGGTCGGGGCGACACTGCCGCGCGGGGTATCGCGCGCCCCGTGCGTATCCCGCGTTGCTTGCCGCACGAGAGAGGGGACGGCGCGGCGTAGCGACGCGCCGGGTGGGGCGCGGCGGGGCGGGGCGCGGCGTGGCGGGCGGCCAGCATCCCCCTGGCGGGGCCGGCGGGGCCGGCGCGGCAGCGGAGGGGCCTGGGCTAGGCCGACAGTACCACGGTAGACTTGGGTGGGTGGAGACGCGCGTCCCCTCTCGCTCGTCCCGCTCGCTCGTCGGCGCTCTCTGTCGCGCCCATCGTGTCCTCTCTGTCCCGCTCCGTGTCTGGCCCTGCGGCCGCGCTCGACCAACTGTTGAGGTGGACAAGGATGACGCCCCGGCAGAGGTCCGGGCGCGCGTCCGCCGGGCGCCTCGGCGTCCTGCTCGTGGCCCTCGTCCTGCTGCACCTGGCCGACGTCACAAGTAAGCGAGTGGACGGCGACGGTAGAGCACGTGACAAAAGGACCGACAAGACCATCTACTTGTCGCAAATTAAAAGAACAACAGCAACATATTATTATTCTAATTTAACAGGATGAAACAGTAACTCATGGTTGAAAGAGTTTTCTCTATAATTTTAACATTAATTCCCGCTCCCGCTTCTTATTTGATTGCTTACTCTCTGAACAGCACGACCCTACACGTGTCTTTAGTGAATTTCCGCTGGGGGTAGTAAAACTTTAACACCTAAAAGCAAAAGGTTGGGGGTGAGAGGGGGAAGGGGGAGCGAAGGGCAGGGGTTAGGCTGGCTGGGCTTGGAATTCCCTCGCGAGCCTGAGCACGCGTACGGGTGTAGTAATGGGGGTCGTTTAATGCCAGTGGGGGGCAGGTTTAGGTGACGTGCGCAGCGGGGGGCAGGAGGGCCCGGGGGAGGCTCGGGCCGTGTGTGTAAGAGCCCGAGGAGCACTCTTGTCCGATGCGGTCATCCCCTAGGTGTCCGCCAGCCGCTAGCGCCGCACCCGCAGGACACCTCCGAAGGGCTTCCGCGTAGCGCCCCGCGGCCGCCGCGCGCCGCAGCGGCCCGCAGTTATCCGTCTTCGGAATCCGCTTTACGCGGCGAGTGGTGTGAAGTCTGAGGGAGGCGAAGAAGGAGAGAGGGGGACGAGGGGGCTGTAGCCAAGGGGCTGTATTGGGTCCCCGGGTGCAAGCCCGCGAGTGCAGAGTCGTGTCCAGGGGCGGCGGTAGGCGGGCACAGGGTACACACCGACACCACCAGCACCAGCCGCGAGCGAGGACGCCGCCTGCTGGGGTGGCGGAGGCGCGGCGGTGGTGGCACGGGCACATCTGTCGGAATGACTCAATGTCGGACTGAAAGAGAAGACATACGGACCCGGAGGAGGGGCGGGGCGGGGCGGGGACTCGCCAAGTTTTGCCACAACATATGAGGCCGCCGTCACCGCGGCCGCGGCGCGGGCCCCGGGGCCGTGACGCTGACGAGGAGCACAGAGACGGGACGGACGGGAGCAGCGGAGCGAGGAGTGGGGGGCAGTCCAGCAGCGCCGTACGATGCAGGGTAGGCCATCCGCGCGAAGCCGCGCGTGCGGGTTGCCTACTCGACGAACTGCGCTCAGCGGCGCGCCTCGCCTCGCACATTTCGAGGAGATGCCTATCACACACTACTAAGACCAGCCTAAGGTCCGACTTTTCCAAGCACGGGCAGCATAGGAGTTTATAGGAGGGGGGGCGGGCGGAGTCGGACCTTTTGGCTGCCGCTGGTGGGATTGTATATCCAGATCTGTAACAAGCTTCTTTCTTGTTTGTATTCCCTAAACTTCAGCGTACGCTAAATTATTTATCATTTATGTATTTATAGCGCCTGATCTCCATTTAGGACCATGCGTTTTCCCCCTTACTGAGGTTCGCTGACCTCGAAGACTCGGTTCAGGGTGGACCCCTCCCTGCCCCAGCTTCCCTCCCCTCTCCGAGTCTACGCCGAGGCGGTGCGGGCGGACAAGTTCGAGTTACGGAGTGACGGCATAAAGATTTGCCCGTCAGAAAGTTACATTACTCTGGCCCTGCCACCCTTTCTGACGATCCAGTGTCGGGTTCCGAATACATGTTGCAGAAACATAACAAGCCGCGACGGATTGGCGGGGAATAGAGTAGCTTGGCGTGGTGTGGTTGGGCGTGGCGGGGCGTAGCGAGGCGTTCAGGTGTGAGATGCGGCGTGAAGCGAGAGCAGGAGATGCGCTCCTCCCCCTGCCTCCGTCCTTTCTCCCTCTCTCTCTCACTCACACACACCCTCTCACTCTCGTCCTGTATTGTCTCCACGGTGTTGTATTCTCGCCAGACCCCCCTCCCCCACCGACTCCCCCTCCCCCTCGCTTTCCCTCCTCCTCCCCCGCTCGACGCGAGGCGGCTCGTCTCCACGTTATATTTTTGAAGTCAGTGGGGATTGCTATATGTATTGTTTGTCTGGCGCAGCGTCCCGTCCTGACCCCGTCGGGCCCCGCCCCGCCCCGCCACGACACGGTGGTATGTGCCGGCGGGGAGGGCCTGTCTGCCTGTCTGCCCCGGGCCTCAACCCGCTCCTGGGCTTTATACACTTGGGCCGGGG